CGTTAGGGTTAACCGTCTTAGTCTTAACACCTATATTATTGCTTAGTTAAAGCTTTGGATGAAGATGGAATTAATTTTAACATTAATAATTTGGACGTAAAGTTAAACGACTGACGGCTGCTCAAATGTCACACAGTTGTAGAAATTTATGCTTTTCTCTTGACTATTTAACTTGGAACCTACGCAAGTGTTATACCGCTTAAAATACCTTAAATAGCGTATACTTAAGAAAATAGAACATTTATGGATATAAGGTTGAACATTCTGACAGCGGATAACTTAGCGAAAAACAAAAAAGTTATAGGACTGCGAGTTGCGCATTTTTTGAACTGCAACGGAGGCGCCAAAAAGAGCATAACGTTTTTATTCAGTCCATAGCCAGGATAGTGATAGGCACGAAGAACTCTAAGAGTTGATGAAGCGAGTAGCTGTAGAGCAATTGCAGTTATCGAACTGTCCTCATCTGAGTATGGACTCAAATACGTCGGTCAATACACAAGGAGGTCTGGTGCCAGCTAAATGAAGCTTGACTCCTCCTGATTTTTTGACTAGTGCTGTTTCAGAAAGAGAGGATGCGATAACTGGAACAAGAGTTCTATTTTCCTGAAGTTTCGGATTCCGTCGGGGAATCCTTAGTCATAAATGATGGTAGCATAGTCACGGTCTGCGCATGAAAATAAAACTCTTGTTCCAGTGATCGCATCCTATGATTCTGAACTGCTTCCTGGAAATCGCATAGTCTCCACTATTGGGGCTTTTCATACTGCAAAATGCCAAACATGGATAACTACCCAACAAACTAGGTACTGATATCGCCGGGCCAATATCCAACGTCTTTCGAATATAAAGTATTTATACTCTTAATTGCACGGAAGATTCACGGCGGTACACTTCTAGAAATCTAGTAAGAAATTTTGCTTTCGTGCATGTATTGACTCCGATGATTTCTCTTGAAATCTTATTCCTAGAATATTACATAAAATATAATTTCAAGCTGAAAAGATATTTTGAAATTGAAGCCAATAACTCACTTGTTTTCAAGCCCTCTGAGGGTTGGACTTCTTTCTACCCCCACCTTATATAAACTGCCAATCATCATAAAGACGTATGTGGACACAGGTGTGGCACAGGTGTGGCACTATCTTTATTTCATTGAAGATGAAATTTTTTTTATCGGTAAATTCACCTCTGGCAATTCACAGCAAAGTGGTTATCGCAAATGGAGGAATTGTACTATTGGGCTGGAAGTGCGAGCAAGGTAGACACTAGGACTCATGAGTAGATTGCATCATTTTGAAAATCAGTGATTTAAGAACTTGGGAGTCATAGAAACTAGAGAATACGCTATGTCGCACAACTCGTTTAATGGTCTAAAACGGCTGGACTGGGTTGTAGCCTTTCCTTACCTTCAGAACAGCCCTGTCGTGCGTGCCTTAGGCCACTTCCTATCTCCGTTGCTGTATTGCTTGAAATTTCTAAAAATTGTTGTATCGTCTTCTATTAATTCCTGCTCTCTTCATAGTGAATACAACTAACGTTTGATGCCGTTTGCGTTATCACAATTGTTGCTCTGACGTTTATTTATTCATTTGAGCTTAATTCTGGCTCTCCCTACTCTACTATAATGTCGAAGTTTGTGTAAAAAGGTAACATCTGTTTATATGAACATCGGTCTCAACCATACCTCCCTCTACCTCACGACATTTCAACCATCGATTTTTAAGTAGTCTTCACCGTATGCTCCACAGCGTGACGGTCCAGGGACGGTGACCTGTGCATAAATTTATTTTAAGTGATAGACTGTCGCAGCATCTATCGCACTCTCTCTTCCCTCACTCACCCCTGCCCGGCATCAAGACACAGTCAAGAAAATCGGAGGTGAGATCTGGCCAAAGTGACGTAAAAAACCTCCTATCTAATTATTCCACAGACAAATACGGCAATAAATGACACGGAGCAGTCATAGTCTCTTTCCGTTGATTAACGCAACATCTAACATTCCAAGTGGGGAGAAGTGGTTACCGTTACTTCTGTCCGTTAATCTATACTGCAGTCCACACACACCCGGTCACTGCGAATATGTAAACCAGAATAAAATCAATTTTACCTACTGCCTAACTCTGTGGAGGCTTACGGATCGTGGCAAATTAGGTTTTGACTTCATGGAGATTCTATCTCTGAAACATAGCGCCTTTAAGTTGGCTTACAGTTCTTGTTCAAGGGGTCCTTGGGACAGGATCGAAAAAAATAGTGAACGAATGTATAAAATTTCTCACTTATAGAGTTTGCATTAAACCTCGCAATTCCTCGCTTTTAGTTTGTAAACTGTCTAATCTCCTAGATCAGAGTAGCACATACCGCAAAAAAACTGTTGAACTGTAAGATGGTGGTGGTCAGAAATGGTTGTATTAGCACTTTGGCAATGTAATTAACAAGCTGTTGTAAATGATTGTCTAAGCAACAGGTGAGGCATTAGTGTGGAGGAGAGCACGCACGTGCCCGGTTTACTGGACGTCCGAAAGATCGAAAAGTGACAGATTGAAACGAAGATCTGGTGAAATTGGTGCCACTAAAGGAGGTGGGAGGGGGATGAACTTGACAGATGGAGCGTGAGAAAGGGAGGAGGAGGCAGAGAATCGAAAATAGCCAACACTGACCACGTCGGTTCGTCATCATCCTCATCATGCGTTAAGTCGAAACAAGACGGTGTGCGACAAGTTTCATTTTCTGGCCTCTGTAGATCTCCTCGTCAGAGCTGGAGCTGCTGGTATACTGCATGTTGGCGAGTCCATTTGCCTTGTGTCCATGCCGATGTTTTCTGGCAGATGGAGACGAGGAAGAGGAGGTGGAGGAAGTGGAGGACGTCTCCTCGCCATGGCTCGACTGACAGTCAAACCGGCCACGATCCTCTGGAACCAAGTGGTGGGCGGCAAACATGTATACGCTGCCTTGCTCAGAAATCCGGCTTCCGATA